GTTTTAGGGGCTGCGCTAAATGTGCGTGGCAGGCAAGGAATATCTACCCCCGATGGGGGTACGGTCGAAGACGAAAAGGGCGGGTACCGAGGGTTTGGGATATACGTTTTGAGGGGCACGCGATCAAATAAGGGCGAATAGTCTTACCATGCTGTTATTGTTGTTGTTGTTGTTGTTGTTGTTGTTGTTGTTGTTGTTGTTGTTGTTGTTGTTGTTGTTGTTGATTGTGTTGGTGTTGGTGTTGGTGTTGGTGTTGGTGTTGGTGTTGGTGTTGGTGTTGGTGTTGTTGTTGTTGTTGTTGTTGTTGTTGTTGTTGAATTCCCATTTCTAAGGAATGATTATGGTTGATTCACCCCGTCCGGGACACATGTTGCTTTTGAATTGAAATGCCCTTCCTGGTGCGCGCACCCTGTTTCTTTAACCGAGAAACTCTCGAGTCTCAGAATTGGGTGTTCGGCCCCCCGTTTACAACAACAACGGCTCCAACCGGATAGCTCCTCGCAGTTTATTTCCAAATCGCGCTCTTGCGCGGGACTTCCCCACAAGTTGTATAGGAACTGCGCTTTCGCGTGGGACTTCCTTCAATGTATTCAAACGCAGCGCCCTCGACACTCAGAAATGATGCTCTCAATGTGGATTTCCTCACGCTTTACTCTGGAATCGCGCAATCGCTCGATCTTTCCTCGCGATTCATGCAGGACGCACGTTTCAGCAACCCGCCTGCTCGACCAGGCCGCCTGGGCCCGCCCTCCGGTTCTGCCACGGGTTTTCTACTCCTGGTCCCCCTCCTGCCACTCTCTCTCGTGCTCCATCCTCATTCTTCCCCCTGGCCCCTTCTTTCCGTCCGTCCTCTCTTCCCATGCCTCGGGGACTGCATGAAACACACTATGCATGTAAGAAAGATATATATATATATATATATACCCCTAAGGGGGTACGATCGAAGACGAAAAAGGCGGGTATCGAGGGTTTGGGATATACGTTTTGAGTGGCACGCGAGCTGGTGAGAACGAATAATCATAAACTGATTGTTGTTGTTGTTGGTGTTGTTGTTGTTGTTGTTGTTGTTGTTGTTGTTGTTGTGTGGTTGTTGTTGTTGTTGGTTGTTGTCGTCGTACCCCCCGCGACCCAGCCCGCGACCCACCCGCGACCTACCCGGGACCACCCGCGACCCACCCGCGACCCACTCGCGACCCACCCGCGACCCACCCGCGACCCAAACGCGATCCACCCGTGACCCACCCGCGAACCAAACCGCAGCCCACCCGCGACCCACCCCGCGACCCACCCACATCGCTTTCACGACAAAATCTGCGCCTGCGGCGGACTCGTTGCATAATCCCACCAGCCCTCTGGCCGTAGGTGGTTTAACAAGATGTGTCTTCTCTCTTTCCCTGCTCGAAGAAGAGGCTTACCACCGTTCCATTTTAATATACGCCTCCTCCCCCAGGCGACCAGCGGCCAACCAGGAACTGTGCCGACCCTATGCAGGCCACCCCCCACCATCCCTGCCAAACAACAATACAAAACGCACTCTGTCTCCACATTTGAAACATGCGCGGCCAACCCGAAGCGGCCCCCCTACCATCCCTCTCCGAAAAATCAAAACAAAGTACACTTTGGGGCAAGACGGCCTCGGAGGGCCCAGAGGGGCTTAGGAGGGGGGGGGACGCGAGGAACTAGAGCGCCCAAGATGACCCAAGAGGGCTCCAAGAGGGCCTCAGAGAGCACAAGATGGCCTCCAAGATGGCTCAAGATAGCCTCCCAGATACATCGGAGGCGGCTCAAAGATGGTCTCAAGTGCCCTCTGGGCCCTCCAAGGACCCCCCCAGAGGCCAAAATGGTTCTGACACCATAGGGAAATCAGTGATTTGTACGCCGACCCCTTGGGGTCACGGCGTGTGAGATGCTTCTCCCTCCCCGGGAGCCCGGTCTGGTCGATTTGGAGGGGAGGGGGGGGGGGCAAAGGTGCCGGCCGCACCCTTGGAGCCTCAGGGGGCCCCAAACCTGGCCAAGAGGGCCCGAAAAGGTTTCCCGGACGGTCCAAGAGGGCTACAAATCGCCGAACGAGCGTCCCAAGACACCTCCAGACGGACCCAGAGGCCCTCAAGACGCCCCAAGAAGCCACCAAGAGGCGTCCCAAGAGGCCCTCCAAAAGCAAAACTCGTCACATTCCCTAGGGAACACTTTAATTTTTAGCACGTTCGCTTCTTGGGCTTCCACGAGGCCCACAACGGCCCAATAAGCCTTCAAGACGACCCAAGAAGGCCCCAAGACGGCCCCAGAAGCCTCCAAAACGGCCCAGGAGGGCCCCAGGACGGCCCCAGGAGGCGGCCCAGAGGGGGAACCGGAATGGACACTTCGAGCACTCCGCCCCGAAAAAAACAGAGGCGCCAAGAGGTCCCCAAGAGGCCCCCACGAGGCCCCCGAGAGGCCCAAAAGAGACCCCTGGAGGCCTCAACACGGCTCTAAAAAGCCATCAAAAAGGCTGCCAGGAGAGCCCAGAGAAGCCCAACAGCAGAGCCGCGATCCTCCGCCAACCGCCCCCGACGAAATCCCAAAAAGCTGGGAACCCAACATTCTCCAGAAATCGCGAGCGTTCCGCAAATTCCGTTTTTCATTCTTACTGCCGCCCCAAGGGGTCGGCGGTGCGGCGTCAGCCAATGAATGAAGGATTTGTGCGGCGTTCTCACCTTTTGGCTTCTGATGGGCTTCCGAGACCTCCAGGTGGCCCCAAGACGGCCCAAGCCAGCCCCAAGAGGGGCCCCAAGAGGGCCCAAAGAGCGCCCAAGAGCACCCCAAGAGCGCCCCAAGAAGGCCCCAGGAGGCAATGTGTGAGCCTCCGAGGGGGGGGGGGGGGGGCTGAATTGAGGACCCCCCTCCTTTTAAGCTACGGGGGCCAAGGCGGATCTAAGAGACTTCTCAGAATCGCCCAAAGGGCCCCAAGGTGGCCCCAAAAGAACCCCAAGTGGGCCCCAAGAGGACCTCAAAAGAGCCCCATGATGGCTCCAAGAGACCCCCGAGAACCTCTCACAGCAACGCTTCGACTCGCCTGGCAAACTGTTTCTGGATGGGCTGGCGGGGATACTTGTTGGTACGCGGGCGCGCGAAACGGGTCGAGCGCAAGGCGAGAAACGGATTTATAGAAATGAGGCGCCTGCGTCGAGCTTCTCCGGAGCCGTGCAGACTGCCGAGGTCCTCGCCGCCCACCCCTCTCTCACCCGCAACTGCGGGGTGCCACGTGCCATGCGCAGGCCTCTCGTCGGGGGCGCCGAGAACTCAGCCCCGACTTGTCCAGGGGCGCGCCTCGACCAGAATTTCCAAGGCAAGTCCGCCGTGGCGACGAGGTGCCTCCCGGGGCCCCCAGGCGCCCAGCGCGCCTCGATCCTCGAAGCCTCCAGTTCCCGAGCAGCTTCCCTCGTTCTCCCTCCTCCCCCCCTGTCCTTGTTTTTGATGCAAAAGGGGGGCCAGCTGAGAGGGGGTGGTGCAACAGGTGTGGGGCAATTGTATTGCGAGTGGATTGCGCTGGGGAAGTGTATCTCATCGTAGTGCAACTCATGTATTGCACGCGAAAGCCCAGCAAAACAGTGGCGCACAGGAGTGCTTTGCACGCCCACAATATATTACAGCCCCACAAATACAATGCACCAAATCTATTGCACCACCCCTTTTCGCTGGATCCTCTTTTGGGTCAACCAGGCAATCCCCCTCCCTCTCTGGGCCTCCTGGAGGTCCAAAGAGGCCGATCGACTGAGAAAGTCCAGGGTTTGCAAATTAGGGATTGTTTTTCCCCCAGGACGACGAAACCTCACCGAAACCCTCCCCGAAGGGTTCTGGAAGGCTTTTCCGAGGGTTCTGGCAGGGTTTGGGAAGGCCTTTTGGTCGCCTTGGGAGGAAGCCAGTTCCAAGCGAACCTCTAGACTTCCCAACGATGGACGGCGAAACACTTCGAATGTCGATCCCCGTCGATCCACGATCCTCGAGCGACGACGCCCACGACCTCGATCAGCGAACAACCATGACCACGACCACGACGAGGACGACGACCACGACCACGATGCAACGACAGTCGACAACCACGACCACGATCGACCACGACCACGATCGAGACATGCTCGATCCACGGATCGCGATCGACGACGACCACGATGCAGGATCGACGACGACCACGGTCCGCAGTCGACCACGACCATGCTCGAGCACCCGAGGAACAACCGTTGACATAAAACATGAGCCTTCGGAGGTCCGCTCGGACTTCTGAGCTCCGATCCCCCCCCCTGCCCGAGCCTCCACCGCCGCCCCTGGCGCGGTATACGTGCGCCAGGGAGGGGAGATCCAGGGCCACTCCCAGAAAATCCGTGCGGACCTCCGACCATCTACAGTCAGGGCGTTGACCTAAGGAACCCTAAATGAGCAACGAGGCCCATTTTTTCCACAAGTTAAACTTCGATGTCCGATCGACAGCCGAAGGAAAACCTTGGGCAAGCTGTGAAACACTCAAGGAACATCCAGCCCCTCCCCAACGAAAAGGGTCCCTTTTTCAGGGCCCCGACTGTATACATTCATGCAGACCTCTGTGCTCCAACCCTGCAGGTCTGAGCATAAGGCCGAACTTCTGGCATTCGGGTCAGAACTCGGGTATCCAGCAGCCGTTCGGGACGATCCGCACTCTCCCTGAACGCTCTCGACAAGGCGCAACTGCTGAGAAGCACATCGAGGCGGAAAAACCTCCCTAACCATCGAAAGAACTTGCGATCCTCGATCATCGATGTATGATCGACGATGGCGTCGACGACCGCGCGGCCCCCTAGAAATCGCGAAACATCAAGACTGGAGCCCTAGACTTCAACTCTGCGAAGCCTTTCTCCAACCAGATCGATGCGTGAGGACCCGGAGTCCGGAATCCAGGCGAAGACGCCCAATGTGAACAGAAATGCAACGCCGGGATCTCACAATGCACTCGATCCACGATCCCCGATCGACAACGACGACCCCGCGGCCTCATGCACGCGCCGGCGCAGCGCCGCCGCCCGGCCCGTGAGGCCAGCGCCCCCGAGGGGGGGGAGGCGTGTGCGAGCAGAAACGCGCGGGGGGGGCTCGTGGGGCGACCCCCTCCTCGCTCGCCGTTGCTCGCCCGGGCGAGGGGGGAGCGGGCGAGCGGCGAGGGAGGAGGGGCGGGAAAGGGGGTGGGCGGCGGGGGGAGGGGACGGGGCGGATTGATGGCGGAGAGAGGGATGAGGTCGGATGAGGTGGGGCTGGGAGGATAAGGGGGAGGAGGCGGAGGAAACGGACGAGGAGGAGGAGCAGGAGGAGGAGGAGCAGGGTGAGGATGAGGATGATGATGATGAGGAGGAGGAGGAGGAGGAGGAGGAGAAGGAAGATTAGGAGGATGAGGAGGAGGAGAAGGAGCCAAAGGAGGAGCGAGGAGGGCACGAAGGAGGAGCGAGGAGGGAGAGTGGAGGTTGGCAGCAGGATGGAGGAGAGATGTGGGGCTGGGAGGAAGAGGCGGAGGATGATGAGGAGGAAGAGGATGAGGAGGATGAGGACAAGGTGGATGAGGCGGAGGAGGACGAGGAGGTTGAGCTGGGATGAGGAGGATGAGGAGGTGGAGCCGGGAGGATGAGCTGGGAGGAGGATGAGGAGGAGACGAAGGAGAAGGATGAGGATTAGGATGAGGATGCGGATGAAGTTGATGAGGATGATGAGGATGATGAGGACGAGGAGGATGAGGAGGAAGATGCTGACGATGATGGTGACGATGATGGTGACGATGATGGTGACGATGACGATGACGATGACACTGACGATAACGATGACGATGATGATGCTGATAATGATGATGATGCTGATACTTATGATGCTGATGCTGCTGATGATTGTGATGATGTTAATAATGCTGCTGCTGATGATGATGATGATGATGCTGATGCTGGTGATGATGATGTTGCTAAAGCTGATGCTGATGCTGATGCTGATGCTGCTGCTGCTGCTGCTGATGATGATGATGATGATGATGATGATGATGATGATGATGATGATGATGATGATGATGATGCGGAGGAGGAGGAGGAGGAGGAGGAGGGAGGAGAGGAGGAGGAGGAGGAGGAGGGAGGAGGAGGGAGGAGGAGGAGAGGAGAGGAGGAGGAGGAGGAGGAGGAGGAGTAGGAGGAGAGAGGAGGGCACGAGAGAGAAGCGATGAGGGAGGGGGGAGGAGCAAGGCGAGGAGAGGAACGAGGAGAAGGGGGAGCTGCAGCAGCAACGGGAATGTCGCTCGTCGCAGCGGCGTGCGACTGCTGCGGCGCGGGCGAACTTGCCCCCGACTCCCCGCCCCCCCCCGCGCAACACCGAACTCTTGCCATCGCTCGGACGTCCATTCCGCGTGCACTTTTTGGCGTTGCGCGTTGTTTGTTTCTGTTCATAGGCTGATCCAAGATGCATTTCGGTGGCCCTCGGCGAGTAAAAATGCACTCGTCTAAGCGATGCAAGCGCTGGCGCACGTCCGAACAATGCCAAGAACTCGCATTCGTCTGGTCGCCTGCCCCCCCCCCAGCCGGTGCCGGCTGCGCCCTCCGCTCCCGAGAGGATGCGCGGCGGGCTGGCCTCCCAAGGGGAGGGGCGGGGAGCGCGGGAGGGCAAGGTGCGGGATGGTAGGGGGAGGGGGGATGGATGGAAGGATGGGGGAGAAAGCAGGAGAAAGCAAGAATGGTCGGAGTGCTGAGCTGTGCTTCACCCTTGCGCGAACGGCTCGCTCCTCCCCTGCCCAATGGCCGGGTCTGGGGGATTCCTTGAACACCGGGCATGCTGCTGGCACCCCGTGCCGTCCGCGATGGAAAGCCACTTGGGCCAACGACAGGCCACTTGGGCCACTTGGACAACCACTTGGGCCATAGGAGGAGGAAATTGAATCGACTCGAGCTCTGGGGGGCATTCAGTCAGATCGTGGAAAGGGCTGGAGAGGGAAGGGGAGGGAGGGAGGGCACCCGACCTTCAACCCCCCAGGGGGTGGCGGGGGTGGCCTGAGGTGATGGAGGCCTCCCTAGCTGGGGAGGAAGAGACGGGGTCTATCGCCGCATCGCCAATGCATCGCGACGCGTCGGCGACGTCGGCGTGGATAATATCGGGCAAGAGATCGCGCCGCATCGCCGATGCATCGGCGGTGCGGCGCGATCCTCTGACCACGTCTGCTCCGCTTGGTAGACAAGGAGGGAGAGAGGAGAGAGGTATCTTACCCTGCTGCTTGGGGGAGGGGGTAAGGTAGGGTAGGGCGCCACTGAAGGCGCTCCAATGACTGTTGCCCTGTATCTACGGCGGAGTCGGGACGACCCCCACGCCCGATCCTTGGCCCGCTAGCACTCAAACTAACGGTGCCCAAAATCAAAACAACGAACACCGCAAGCCTCCGACACCTAGGGTCAGGTGACGCTTATAAAATACACTCGCCCTTCTTCACGGCCGCCATCATTTACATAACATCTCGATGCCATTCCGCTTGCTACGCGTAGACAATCGAATGTATCCACACTGGGCACACGCATTAAGAAACCCCAACGACCGCACATGCTGAATACATGTTCCCTGTAGATGTGCTAAGGGCGATGGGCATCGATCTACTTATGCGTGTGCCATTATGTATAACATTATACGCAAACTATACGAACATACGTGTTGTTATCACCACTGGGCAATATTGGGGGAGGGGATGGCCAGAAAACACGCGCATGCAATGGCGGCGACAACACCAACGGCGACGGCAAAAAGAGGGCAAAGGCAAAGGGGGAACGGAAAGCGGGGGGAGAGGGGGGCCGAGGAACGACGAGAGAACAGGAAGCCCCGGAAGAGCGGAGCGGGAAGGGAGGGACAGTGACTCCTCCACTGCCACCTTTTGCAGCCTCTCGGCGTCAACGCGCTGGTCGCACCCACGAAGGGAAGGCAACGGGGCCAGATTAAGGTAGGCGCACAAAAAATGTGGAAGGCCGTCGCGCACGGGATGCGCTAGGGCAACGCAAACCAGGACTGGCTCGAGCTCAAAACTGAAGGGCTGCGGGGGAATTGTGCGTGTGTGTGCGTGCGTGTGTGTGTGGGAGGGAGAGAGCATGTGTGTGTGTGTGCGTGTGTGTGTGTGCGTGTGAGACTATGCGTGTGTGCGTGTGTTTGTGTGTGTGCATGTGCGTGTGCGTGTGTGCGCGTGTGTGTGTGTGTGTGAATGTGTGCGTGCGTGCGTGCGTGCGTGCGTGCGTGCGCGTGTGTGTGTGTGTGTGTGTGTGTGTGTGTGTGTGTGTGTGCGTGCGTGCGTGCGTGCGTGCGTGTGTGTGTGTGTGTGTGTGTGTGTGTGTGTGCGTGCGTGCGTGCGTGCGTGCGTGCGTGCGTGCGTGCGTGCGTGCGTGCGTGCGTGCGTTTGTGTGTGTGTGCACGTGTGTGAACTTCCAATGTGAACCAGCCCGACGGCCCACCCCACGCCCCCGCCGCTGTCGGTGACGGACTTGTGTCCTCCGCTCGGAAACCAGTTGGATTAAACCATTGTCCCGAAGTCCATAAGCGCTGCACGGGGCACTGCAAGGATTGTTTTTTCCCCAGCGGGATCCCGACCTGTTCAACTATCACTCAGGAGTCGCTCCCACGTCAATAGCTGATGGCGCGCCTTGAAAAACTTGCGCGCGGGTCACGCGGGAGAAAGACCTTGCTGAGCCGCGCCCCTTTCCGCCCTCCTCGCTCCTCTCCCTGCCCCGCGGCCTATGCCGCTCTCCTTTGCCTGACCTTGGCCCCCGGTTGGGGCTGGCAGTCCCGCGTCCTTACCTACCCGGCGCCCGCGAGCCCGCGGGACTTCCGACTTGCAGCTCGGCCCACTCTGCGACGCTCGACAACGTGTGTGTGTGTGTGTGTGTTCGTGTGTGTGTGTGTGTTTCTGTGTGTGTGCGTGCGTGCGTGCATGCGGGTGGGCTGGCTGGCAGACAGGCAGGCCGGGCGTGCGCGTGTGTATGTGTGTATGTGTGTATGCGTGTATCTGTGTATGTGTGTGTGTGTGGGTGCGTGCGTGCGTGCGTGCGTGCGTGCGTGCGTGTGTGTGTGTGTGTGTGTGTGTGTGCGTGTGTGCGTGCGTTTGTGTGTGTGTTTGTGTGTCAGGGCCGTGCGCGCGTGCGTGTGCGCATGCGCGTGCGCGTGCGCGTGCGCGCGCGCGTGCGCGTGCGCGTTCTCGTGCGCGTGCGTGTGTTTGTGCGTGTGCTTTGTGCGTACTTGTGTGCTTGCGCATGTGTGCATTTGCGCGTGCGTGTCTGTGTATGGGATGACTGTCCTCTCGGGCGAGATTTGTGTTTGGGGTCCGTGCCCGATCTTCTCTCGGCGGTCAGGGCCCGCGCCCTCGCCACCGGGACTGCGTCCGCAGGCCCAGTCCTGTTTTTTTTTTTTGTGTATCGTTCGGCCAGTGCCCACGCCACTGCTCCCAGTCGGGGCCCGCGCCCTTGCCGCCGAGCTAGCCCTGCAGGCCCGCGCCTGGGTGGCGGTCGGGGCCCGGGCCCTCGCCGACGAGCAAGCCCCACAGGCCCGTGCCTGGGCGGCCTCTGGGCATGCGGTCGGGGCCCGTGCCCTCGCCGCCGAACTAGCCCCACAGGCCCGCGCCTGGGTGGTAGGCGGTCGGGGCCCGTGCCCTCGCCGCCGAGCTAGCCCCATAGGCCCGTGCCTGGGCGGCCTCTGGGCATGCGGTCGGGGCCCGTGCCCTCGCCGCCGAGCTAGCCCCACAGGCCCGCGCCTGGGTGGTAGGCGGTCGGGGCCCGTGCCCTCGCCGCCGAGCTAGCCCCACAGGCCCGTGCCTGGGTGGCCTCTGGGCAAGCGGTCGTGCCCTCGCCCCGGGGTTTGCCCTACAAACCCGTGCCTGGTTGCTCTTGGGACTCGCGGTCCGGGCCCGTGCCTTTGCCGACGAGCCCAGTGGGATACTTACGGCCCGTGTTAATGACGGGCTCGCGGTCGGGGTCCGTGCCCTCGCCGCTGGGCCTGCGCCCGCCCTCGTGTTTCGCGACTATGGCCCGAATCCTCGCCGAGGGGCCCGTGCCCTGATCACCTGAAGGGGGCCCGTGCCCTCCCGGGCTCGTGCGCCAGGTGCGTACCCTGTCCACCATAGCGGGTTCAGCTGGGCTCGTGCTCCGTCTTGCTTGCAGGCGTGGCCCGTGGCATCCACCAGAAGGCGCGCGCACGCA